ACCAGCTACAGCCGGTTATTATGTAAAAACATGTTATTTTTATGAACGCTCTAGACTCAGTACCAGAGACCAGACCAGTACTGAGTCTAGAGCGTTCATAAAAATAACATGTCTCTTTACATAATAACCGGGATAGCTGCTTTGTAGTTTCATGCGTGGAAGACAATGATGCTAGATAAAAAGTATGTTTTTTATCTTAACAAGTAGGTATTAGTGATGCACAGGTAAAGAACCATGGACTCAACTGTATGTATTACTTTTTCCAAAGTCAGATTTGAAAGTATACAGGAGAGGTCTCCCTAGCCCAGCCCGTTGTTGGTTTTAAATGGTTCAGACAGTTCCCCCTGGATTCATACTCTGCATTCAAGAGTTAGTTTTGTTAAATTTACCAACTGATTTGATTATTAAGAGAGATTCGAACACTCATTGTACTTAACATTATATTTTAAATCCACTCTTAACCCACCACCTCCTCGAATCACGTTAAAATACACCAACTGGGCAGATTTTCAATCCTACTTAGAAGAAAATTTCACTTTTAATCTGCGGATCAAATCTACACATGACATGGATACAGTAGCTCAATACTTCACCACACTTGTACAAAAAGCGGCATGGCAATCTACACCACGAACTGAACGCAAACCAACACATACCACAAATGTTCCCCTGCACATTCGCCAACTCATGAACCTGGCAAAGATCTAGAAACAACATAGATCTACATATATTCAATAGACTACGTAGACCACTTGGAGTAGCCATCAAACAACGAAACCTTCGAACATTACATTATAAACCTTACATCAAATGACCAGACGTTATGGAAGGCGACTAAGAAGCTTAAGAAACCATACACAACTATCCCTCCCATCCGTAAACCAAATGGCGAGTGGGCCTGTTCCAACAACGAAAAATCGGACGTCTTTGCTGAATATCTACAAACGTATTTTAAATAGAGCTAACAGACCCTGATGAAGAAGTGGAAGAACTAATTAGCGCAGCATGTCAAATGTCCCTCCCAATTAACAGTTCTACTCATATAGAATTCAATAAATAAATATACAAATCATGAATTTGTTGCTTGTGTGAGTCCATTTCAAATAGGTAAAGAAATAATAAATCAGACTTACAATCAATTTAATTTAACTATCCGACGACCGGTTTCGCTTTCTACAATATGCAAGCATCTTCAGGTCTCGGTACAAAGTTAAACAAATGCTGAAATGATAAAAACCCATATTAGGGTGTTGTCTAATAAAGATAAACAAATTAAATGTTATAAATTACAATAATTATGCCAATATTACCTGTCTGTGGTTTTATTTAAATGATTGAGTTGTATAAAAGGTATAAATATTTTTTAGAAAAGTTAAAAGGACAAGGTAAGGCCCACAAATTGTCATAAAATCTCTTCTATTGGAGTAAATTAATGAATGAGCAAATAAATAAATGAAATAAAATAAAATTACTTACATGCCGGTACTCTATTAATAGATGGATGGTAGAACATGTTTGAAACTACTGTATATTGTTGAATGGAGAACTCAATACAATTATTGCAGTTGTTTGACAGTAAACGGGAAGTTCTTGAGGAGGTAGATTTGATCCAATGAATTTGAGATGTGTGTGAGATTGTTTGTTAAATGTAAGTGGTGTAATATATTATTGTGTTATTAAAAGTTATTTATACTTATTCCAGAGATATATTTTTTTTTATATATTTTTGAAATGTGTGAAATGTGAAAAAAAAATATATCTCTGGAATAAGTATAAATAACTTTTAATAACACAATAATATATTACACCACTTACATTTAACAAACAATCTCACACACATCTCAAATTCATTGGATCAAATCTACCTCCTCAAGAACTTCCCGTTTACTGTCAAACAACTGCAATAATAGTATTGAGTTCTTCATTCAACAATATACAGTAGTTTCAAACATGTTCTACCATCCATATATTAATAGAGTACCGGCATGTAAGTAATTTTATTTTATTTCATTTATTTATTTGCTCATTCATTAATTTACTCCAATAGAAGAGATTTTATGACAATTTGTGGGCCTTACCTTGTCCTTTTAACTTTTCTAAAAAATATTTATACCTTTTATTCAACTCAATCATTTAAATAAAACCACAGACAGGTAATATTGGCATAATTATTGTAATTTATAACATCTAATTTGTTTATCTTTATTAGACAACTCCCTAATATGGGTTTTTATCATTTCAGCATTTGTTTAACTTTGTACCGAGACCTGAAGATGCTTTGCATATTGTAGAAAGCGAAACCGGTCGTCGGATAGTTAAATTAAATTGATTGTGAGTAAGTCTGATTTATTATTTCTTTACCTAAATAAATATACATTAACTCACGAAAGGCCCCAGGTTATGATTTAATCTCAGCACAAGTACTAAAACAACTTCGTCGCAAAACCATTACTTTGCTAACACTTACATTTAACCGCATGATAAGCTTATCGTACTTTCCAAAAATATGAAAATTTGCTGAAGTCATTATGATTCTCAAGTCAGGAAAAGAGCCCAATGAAGTAACATCTTATCGACCCATCAACCTACACCCAACCATAAGCAAAGGTTTTGAAATATTGCTGCTACAAAGGATATACGCAAATCATGAATTCCTTACATTACTTCCAAAACATCAGTTTGGTTTTCGAGAAAATCACTACACTATTCAACAAGTCCATCGAATGATAAATGAGGTATCAAAAAGTCTTGAAGAAAAGAAATACTGCAACGCCGTATTTCTAGACATTTCACAAGCGTTTGACAAAGTCTGGCACAGAGTTCTGCTTTACAAAGTAAATTCAAAGACCAACAATCCAACCTCTGTCCTATCCACTCCGGAGTCACGCAGGGTAGTGTTCTAGAGCCGCTGCCACACAGCCGTTATACCAGATACTAATAATACTACAATCGCTTCCTTTGCTGACAACGCGACGTAGCAATACCAGCTGTAAATGAAGATCCCATACAAGCCTCACAAAACCTGCAACATCATCTGAACATACTTAGTGATTGGTATACGAAATGGAGAACACAAGTAAATAAAACAAAATCAACTCAAATAACATTTACCAACCGTCACAACATATGTCCACCTATAAGAATGGAAAATGTAAGCATACCAACAGTAACAGACGCTAGATACCTTGGCCTCCATCTTGACCAACGTGTCACTTGGAAGAGATATATCCAGACTAAAAGAAGGCAGCTCGACTTAAAGTTCCGGCAAATGTATTGGCTCTTTAGACGTAAATCAAAACTAAACATCCAAAACAAAATTCTTCTATATAAAACCATATTCAAACCTATCTGGTCCTACGGACTACACCTACGGGGCTGTGTAAAGCCAACGTCGCTGAATATCATCCAAAGATTTCAGTCTAAAGTGCTAAGATCGGGAGTGCCATGGTACGTAAGTGATCAAACTCTTCACTACGACTTAAAAATTCCTTTCATCAGAGAAGAAATCCATCGAGCCACGGAGTCACATAATGAACGTACCATTCACCATGAAAATGAGCTAGTAAGGGAATTATTCAACAATGGTCCAGCCACAAGAAGACTAGATAGAACCTGGACCCAAGACCTACTCCAAAACTAAACCAAAATAGAATAAGGTGAAACATCATTGAATATCTCTACTTCACGCTCAAAACCTGTAACACATTTACTTAATATTCCGTAATGATGTAGATTGTAAATAAACATAACTATATACAAATCCGCTCTTACCGACATATTATTGTAGTGTGGAAAACACAAACGAAAGACAATTTTTTGCTGTACTTCTACTAGTTCTGTATGTCCAGTTCGATGTCCTTGGTGTGCTACAATAAATTCTTTAAAATTTTACGCACAACGAAATATGTAATTTGCTTATTCCAGTAATATTCCCATGTGTTTTTGGTTAGTGTAAATTAATTTTTTAAGACCTGCCAAACAGGATTTGTATCTGTAATGATCTAAACGTCCATGCCCAGCTATGAATGGCCAATCATTTGTATTAAAGAAATATGTTCAGGATTAATTTCGTATAACCTAGTTCCGTATTATCTTAATCCTGAGGCATCGGCAGAAAAGAAGCTGGTGTATGTGTTCAGTATGTGATTAATTTTATAATTAATAAATTGAGTTATAAAATAAGCTTTTTATTAACTAATCGATTGATAGAGTGAGTTTTGATATATGATTATAAAAACTTCCTTTGGGGTTTTTTTGACCTTTACTTTTCAATATATGTTAGGAGTGAGGAGGTTTAAACATTGTATTCTTCTTGTTGATTTGGATTTATTCCAAATTTGACAACAAATTCCAATTCCAGTAATTGACAACATACAAGTCAAAAGTTTGATAAACAGTTTAATGGAACCAATATTAAATATAAAGAAAAAATGATCGTCTGAGAAACACATGTACATAATCACATAGTAAGTTTCGTGATAGGTAACGTACTACTACTGAAGAAAGAGTAGAAGTAGAGTCTGATATCTGTCATTTTTATTTGGCCACAAGCTCTAAGGAAGTGAGTACTAATGTATAGATCGGAAAAGGTTTGACGGTTGTTACATGTATTATTTAACGTGATTTAATAGATCAGAGTGCGTAGGTCCATGATATGTCCTTATTCTTCAGGATAACTATATAAATTCAATCTTTGGAAGATTAATAATGGTATTGTAAAACGATCCCAAGGAATTCGTAAAAGTGCCTTATTGATTTTTGATAAACATTAATATGGTATAAAATAAACAAATCAATATTTTAACTTCACATACACCCGCTCCTTTTCTACTTCGAAAGCATTGTGTGGTTCAAAAACTTCGCACTAATATTTTGTCTTCTGATAAATTGTAAATTAACTGTAAGTTCATTTGGTGCGCAAGTTTAGGCATGTTAGCGAGCTGGGTCAGGACAAAATTTTTGTTGTTGCGGTTATTGATTGTGGCTTATATGTTTTATAGGAGGAAGAAAGGAAGAAACAAGAGATAGTGGAGAAAATTCTGGAAGAGAATCAAAGAAAGATAGAAGAGGCACAGAAAAAATTGGTAAGTTTTAGAAATATTCCTTGCTAACGCAAACCTTTCAGATTCATTGCTTAACAATACCCTTCAATTCGTCTTCTATGAGTTACCGCTATTCTTTTACTTCCCAACTTTGTTTGCATTAATTTCTTTGGCACTCTTTATTCATAAATTCTTTTTATGTCCTATACATCTTACTCTCCTTGCTTGGCTACTTGTGCTATTACAGGTGTCCCATAAAATCAATCACTTTAGTGTTAATTGTTTTTCTATAGAGATTCACTTCGACTCTAGAATTTACTTTACCATATGTTAATTTTGTACTCTTTTCTTGGGTTAAAGTCCAAGTATCACTTATAAGTAAGTTGGCGACACTTTTTAACTGGCGGCCATTTTGACAGCTGTCAAGGGATTTATGTTTGATGTTATCATATGTATATATCATATGTTATGTATGATTTGGCATTTGAGTATGAATAGACTGACGCCAGAACAATGCTTCCAAATTCTGCAAATTTATTTTGAAAATCATGGTTCTGGATAATACGCATCCACAGAGACGTCATACAGTTCGTACAGAAGAAGTTGTTGGTGATGTAGAGCGTAGCATAGAGGAAGACATGAATCAGTCTATCGGCCATTGTGCATAGCAGTTGGATATGTATCCATCCACTTTATGGAAGATTTTACGGGAAGATCTTGGTTTGCCTGCTCACAAAATCCAACTCGTGCAAGAGTTGAAGACAAATCACCTAGCAAGGCGTAGATTCTTTGAATGTTTGTGAACCAAGCTCAGTTTTGGTTGAATGGCTATGTCAACAATTAAAAGTGCCGTATTTGGAGTGTAGATAATCCTCAAGGGTATGTTGAGACCATATTACATCCAGAAAAACTGACTGTTTGGTGTGCTTTGTGTGGTGGTGGAATCATTGGTCCGTACTTCTTCAAAAACGATGCTAATCAGAACGTTACAATTAATGGTGACCGCTATAGAGCCATGATTATTAACTTTTTTATTCCTCATTTGAACAACGATGATGTGCAGCAGCTGTGGTTTCACAGTCACACAGCTCGTGCCACAATTGATTTATGTTTCATTCACGTTTCTGATACGTGAATTGGCCTCCAAGTCTTGCGATTTAACACCGCCAGACTATTTTCTGTGGGAATATGTGAAGTCGCTAATCTAAGCCGATAAGATTGAAACGATTGACCACTTGGAGAATAAGATTCGCCGCGTTCTTGGCGATATACGGCCACAAATGTTGGAAAAAGTCATCGAAAATTGAACTTCTAGATTAGACTACGTCAGAGCCAGCCATAGCGGTCATATGCCAGAAATCATGTTTAAAGCATGCCAAAAGATTATCTTTCAAATAAAGTCAATTTCATTTCCGTTGATAAAAATCGTCTTTGTTTTATTCCATTTCAAAGTTCTATACCTCTAAAAAACACCCATTATATAGCACCGTTAATGTCAGTACTGCCTTATAGATACATATTGTAACGGGAATTAAAACACACGTTTGAAATTTATCTACACATATAATTTATTTAAATGTTTACAAATTGAATGGCCTTAAAATTTATTTTATAACTTACCCCTAGATCAAATAAAGCAGTCTTTTATATTAAAACAAATATATTCGAACCGTTTCTGAGGATTCCTGTGCAATGCACCGGCATTCGAGATGATTCGGCGCCTGTCACTTATATTCAACACTAATCGGCCAGTGCCGACAGCATTCCGAGGTTCGGTCCAGGACTTGTAATATTACTTATTTAATGTAAGATAAGTGATGGATTCGACCGTTACTTGATGAAAATTCATTTTATGTAACAATAAAACACTGAAAACTTCTGTTTTCACAACTTCCACAAAATTTATTACAATATATTGGTATGTGTTTACACTTTATCCCTTTCAGACCTGACTTTCTCCGCAGAAAATTTTTTTTGTTGAATCTTCTTAATGAAAGATTGTAATAGGCTAAAATCATATTTTAGACATTTTTGTTAACAGGTAGTCGTTTGACAGAATGTCCATTGCAATGGACATTGGGACTATAATACGAATTTAGGAAAATACTCACATACGATATCTTTATTAAATATAGTATATTTGTACTAAGCAAAGGTTGAGTATTTTAAAAATAAATTTAATAATAATAAAATAAAAGTATTTTAAAAAGTAATTTATGGGATCCTTTGTTTCTCCTGTACCTGATGTTTCTAAAGTTGTTGTTACAGCTTTTGAATGACATTTCCTTGTACTAAACTTGCGTTTGTTCCATATCATTTCTAGTTTTGGTTTGTTCTTTTTTTGTAGATGTTTTTAAATTCTTCTGTAAGGTATCAACAGGGTTGTATATTAATTGCTCCTAAAAATACCAAAGGTTAGAATGTTGTTAAGTATTAATTAATATTTTTTATTATTAATTAATAATTTCTTCATTACAGACATCTTCTATGTCTAACTGATGTTCAATTTGAGATAAAACATTATTAGCTAATTGTTTAAATTCATCGTCATCATCTAAAAAGGACCTTAGAATCTCTTTTTGGATTATCCGGAGTAAAACCTAAAACAAAAATATCAATATAAACCTGTAGTCCATTGCATTGGACATCATATTTTAATGTTTGTTATCGACAAAAAAACAACAATAAATCATGTATGTCGAATAAGCAGTATAAAAATTGATATGTCTACTATTATATAAAATATTATTTCGTTACATATAATAAATTTACAACTTGAAGAAACATGATACTTACGCTTTCCGGGCTATCGTGAATTCGCCATGTCACACTATCTTTAAAAGCGCTTAATTCGGTTATGATTCAAACTAAACTAAAATTTTGTATGACTAGTAGTAACGGAGATATGCAAAATAAAAAATATGTAGTTGTCAGCAATTTACAGGAGTTTAATTTTGTTGTGGGGCTTACGTAAATGTATGTCCATTGCAATGGACACCGGGTCTGAAAGGGCTATAGTCTGCATATGTTGAGGAGAGGAGAACTGTTTCTTCTGGATAACTTCATTCAGTTAAAGACCATAAAGTGTAAACACATACCAAAAATAGATCACTTGAGAAAGGCACTGTGCCGGAATAGCTGTAGTGATAAGATATTATATTATAATAAATCTATCAATTTTATTCCAATAGTACACATTTTTTCTGAAATAGGCTTTAAATGATTGTGTTTTTGTATTTTTTGTAGAAACAAACCTACTCCGAGCATTCTATCTTCTTCCCCGCTGTTTAAATATTATATATAATTAACAGTCCTATTCCTTCCAGGAAGTTTAGTATATCTATAGACTTTGTGTTAGGTAAATCACCTTGTTATCTATCTCTTCTATAGTTATAATTTCCTGGAAGTATTTTTGTTTATCTGATTCCTAGTAAGTATTCCCATTGTGTGTATCTTTTCTATCTAATTTTCTTTAAATTAATCCATATTTAAGCTGTTACTCGTGACAGCTTAAATATGGCTTCTTTGCGCTTCCCAACTTTTTGGCAATTTATTTTTTAAATGTGTTTATCTACATATATATACATATATTTACTAATCTTATATTTTCCGTTTAGGCTGAAGAGAGACTAGCGATGGTGGAAGAACAACGCAAGATCGACGAAGAGAGGCAGAGACTTAGAAAAGAACAGGACAAGAGGACGAAAGAGGAACAGAAGAAAATACTGGGGAAGAATAATTCCAGGCCGAAGTTGTCGTTTTCACTAAAACCTGTTTTATAGCTAGTGATAGAGTCGCCGGTACTGTGTGAAAGTGACACTTCCGTATATTTGTAATTAAAACAATAATTTAAGTGAATCTAGTGATAAATTTCGTCAGTACGAATTGGTAATAATATTTACTTGCATTTTTATTGTTTCTATGAAATATAGCTCATTTTATAACTTAATTGTATTTTGAATATCCTTCCTTAAAAATATATAAAAAAATTTATTGATTTATTTGTTTATTTAACTAAAATTATTCAGCGATATTCAAAATTTTCGGAGATTGGAAATTCTTTAAAAGAACTCGCAATGGTGACATTATGCACCCCTGTCTCACTTACCTTAATATTTTGACCTGATCTGTATATTCTCCATCTATTCGGAGCACCGCTGATTGATTCCAATACAGGTTAGCTATTATTTTTAGGTCTCTTCCGTCAATCCCCGTCCTCTTCAGCAGTTCCATAATTTGTTCATGTCTAACTCTATCGAAAGCCTTATTGTCAGCAGAAATTTCATCAAGTCCCGGTTCCTTTCAATCCTTCAATTGTCTGACGGCTGCCGTTATTTCTTCTGGTAGGATTTCGGGACCTGTATTTTCTTCAATGGTTGGCTCTTGTATTGTTCTAAGGCCATGGAAAAGTTTCTCCAAGTATTCTTTCCATACTTTCTTTTAATCTTCTTTGGTTATTACAAGATTGCCTTCATCATTTTGTTGTTTTTCCGCTGTTGCGTTCTCGGGACTTTTCAGCTATTTCATTCACCTTTCGATGGACATTGAAGTTATCATATCGACTTTGATACTCCTCTCTTTCTTGATATTGTACTGTTTTTTGTTTCTCTTTGGCTTCTCTTATCTTTCTTCTGACGATGGTATGTATTTTCTTATATTCTTGGAGTTATATTTTGGTTTTTTTTTCTGATCCATAAGTTCACAAGTATTTCATCCACGATTTCCGTTTCTCTGTATCTTTCTTCGGGAGTTGTTCTTTTATTTCTCTCACTGTTTTTTGTATGATGGTCAGACTCTATAGTTTTTGCATTTTAGCACCTTTTGTATTGAGGTTTTCATTCACCTTCAGTCGAACATTGGGATCTTTCAGTTTTCTAACATCGACCTTCTTCATCGACTTACTTGCAACCTTCTTTATTCTGACTTTGAAATTAACTACAACTGGTACATTTTTGAAGAGGCCCTAAAAGATATTGATGAAGGCATCTCAATAAATGGAGTCAAGCTTAATAACGTGCGGTATGCAGATGATACAATAGTGTTTTCCAATACCATAAAAGGGCTGCAAAACCTAATGAACAAAATAACGGAAACAGTAGAACATATAGACTGGATATAAACACCAGCAAAACCAAGTTAATGAGCATCAGCAAGGAAAACATAACTGGAGCAAATTTGTATGTGAACCAAATGAGAATGGAACGTGTCTTACAATATAATTACTTGGGAACTATAATCAATGAGTCGTGGGACAATACCCAAGAGAATAAATGTCGCATCGGAAAGGCCAAAAGTGCATTCTTGACTATGAGCTCTGTGTTCAAAAGCCATGACCTCACCCTGAAAACAAAAATAAGGCTCCTTAAATGTTACGTGTACTCAGTGCTTCTGTATGGAGTAGAAACTTCGACATTGAAGGCGGAAATTCTATCAAAACTTCAGGCGTTTGAATTATGGTTATACAGAAGAATCCTGAAGATACCATGCACAGACAAAGTCACCAATGAAGAAGTACTGCGGAGGATGAACATAACCGCGGATTTGGTCAACATTGTGAAGAGCCGTAAGCTGGAGTACTTGAGACATATAATGAAATCAAGGCAGATACGAGCTACTCCAATGCATTTTGCAGGGTAAAATTGAAGGAAAAAGAGCCCCAGGACGAACAACAGTATCCTGGCTTGCTAACCTGAAAGCATGGTATAGAAAGACCTCAACACAGCTATTTCGTATAGCAACCAACAAAATCATCATACGCCAACGTTCGGAATGGACAGGAAACCTAAGAAGAAGAAGACAACTGGTACATTGTCTACCCTCGGGTATCATTTGACAGCTGTTTCTATACCTCTTATTTGAGCTCATCTTCACTTCTCATTATAATGATCCAATCTGTTGGTGATTTAAGGATATTGACACGATGTTGATATTCCACCAACAAGAAATATAATTAACATAGAAACATATGTTAAAACTTATTAACGAAACACATCAGTTGAGTATGCAGTTAAGAGTAACTTTATTTTATCCCAAAAGTGAATACAATTGACAGTTTACATTGCACCAATCTTAACTTACTCTAAATAACATATGGCATTAATATTTAAATTTTATTTAGTTGATATCAATATTTTAACAAGGGATACCAAGAGAATATTAACTACAAAAAAAAAACACTGTAAGATATGACGTTTATTGAAAAAATTAGTAAAAAAAAAATAACAAATTTTTATAATAAGTTACAGCTTATCTAACAAATGTTTTGGTATTGTAATTAAAAAAAATATTCAATCAAAAACTGTAAACTTTGCACCTGTGTTTATATTTTTATTATTTCGCAAAAACTGCCTATATCATGACTAACAATTTCTTCGGTTTCAGTAACTTCATCGACATACTCTTCGGTATAAGTTTGGGTTTCGTCATCAAGTAGACTTTCTCTTCTTTCCCGTTCACTTTGAATTAGATTCAAAAGATCTTCAAGAGTTTTTTTCATACCTGTCAAAAAGATAATGAGTATCTACTACTTTTGTCTGATAAATGAAAATTGATTTTATGCAATAACTGGATGGAATTCTTATTTGAATACGAATCAAATTCCTCCACAAACACTAAAGGATCATTTTTGTTAATGTATACAAAAAACTGCAATGCAATGGCAGAACTTTCAGTTCCAAAAAAACTTATCCAGCTCGTTAAAGTTTGTGTAAATGGCTGTAGATCTAGAGTGCGGATAGGTAACAATCTCTGAGAGTTGTTTGAAATAAACAGTGGACTGAAACAAGGAGACGCGCTGTCACCTCTTCTTTTTAATATAATCCTGGAAAAAGTAGTAAGAACCGCACAAATTAGAACAGAACTACTGACAGTAAATGGACCAAAATTACTACTAGCATACGCGGATGACATTGACATTGTAGGAAATACCGTCACCAATGTAAAAGAAACCTTCAATAAATTAGAGAGAGAGGCAAAAATACCGGTCTAAGGGTCAATGAAGAGAAAACCAAATATATGTGCATTAATAGACAAAAGAGACAAGATAGAATAGGACAAAATGTAACAATAGACCCCTATAACTTTGAAAGAGTGGAGAGTTTTAAATATCTCGGAGCGATCACCACAGATAACGATATCACGGAAGAGATAAAAGGGAGAATTCAGGCAGCAAACAGATGTATGTATAGCCTCCACAACACTATTAAATCCAAGAGCCTAACACGAACATCAAAAATCAGGATATATCAAACAGTAATTAGACCGGTGCTCATGTATCCAATGTAACCAATACCGAATGAGAACAAATGCCGAGGTCAAACAAATGTATAGTGCTAGCGACGTAGTCCAAGAGATTAAATCCCAACGTCTAAGATGGGCTGGCCATCTTCATAGGCTCCCTAATAACCGCCTTACCAAGTTAATCTGGGAAGAAGTCCCGATAGGGAGAAGGCCCTTAGGACGTCCACGAATGCGATGGAGAGATAATATATGGTCAGATTTGAGAACAATGGGGCTACCCACTGACTTAAACATCATGGACGACCGTTCGAGATGGAAGCAGGTTGTGCAGTCAGCCAAGACCCACCCCGGGTTGTAGTGCTACCAGAAGAAGAAGAATACAAAAAACTATTCTTAAGTTACGCTGGCGAGGAAGAGGAAGCCATAGATGTATTTAACACATTGAATCAAACAAAAAGGAAAATACAAAGAAATAATAACAGCTTTTGATAATTATTGTAAACCCTGTAACAATGAAACCTTTGATCGTTTTAAGTTCTTTTTAATAAATCAGGCAGAAGAAGAAAGTATGGAATATATTATAAAAGATTTAAAAATATTGGCTAAACCATGCAATTTTAAAACCCAATAAGATAGCCTCGTAAGAGATAGAATAAGTTTGTGAGTCCAAGATCATAATTTACAAGAAAAACTATTCGGAATAAGTAATTTAAATCTAAAAACTCTAGAAGACACATGTAAGACAACAAAAGCTACTAAGATCCAAGCAAAGAAAGAAGTAAATTTAATTCGAAGATGATTCAGCCAAGATAATTCCAATACTAGTAACTAATACTACTATATAGACTCCGACAAAATTTATTTTTTGAATATGACTTATAAATCGACGATGCGCAGTGGTTCTTGTTTACTAGTGTTACCATAGAAACGGCTAGTTTGCTGTTTGCCAGTGTCGTAGTTGTGTATCGCAGAGAGTGTTTGACTTGTTGATTTGATCGTGTGGGATATTTTATTATTTTATTTTAGATTAGTGCTTAATATAATATTGGTAGTAGTAATTAGTGATTTATTATGTTATTTAGTGAATTTATAATGTGTTAAGTTTAGTTATTAATTAGAGGTACTTAATATCAATAACAATATGGTTTCTAAAAGATAGGAACAAAAGGGCTGGGATTAAATAGCCAAGCAAAGGCAATAATTAATAATGTTACTACATTTATGGAACAAGAGGCGGCACATTTTGAAGCAACCGAAAACCTGTTAATACCTGTAAGAAAATTGACGTACGTATTGTCAATGATATTTTATTTTCTTATGTGTGTGTGTGCGTGTGTGTGTGAAAGATATGACACGGAAACAAAACCATCGACCACAGAATGTTTTATTTATGTTTAAAGATACATTTTTTTTGTTCTTGTTTATTCCTTTTTTAGATATATGTATAAATCACTGAAGTTATACTAATTTATATTTCTGCTTTCACATCCTTAATTGTCAAGTGGGGTGTATCTGGAAATATATATTTTGCGAGTTTTCAACAATATTATCCCATTGCTTTTCCTATTTCAGTCTAATTTTATTTTTTATTGAGTTAAATATATCCTTTACTGTATAAATATTGCAAAAGACTTCATTCCTAACTGTTTCCTTAGCTAGAGTATCAGCTTTTTCATTCCCTGGTATACCTACATGGCCTCTAACCCAAATAAATATTATATTTAAATTTACAATCATGTTTATTAAACAACATAACATAGGACACTTCATTCTTTCAAATTTTGTATTTTTTGAGTATGTCATTGGATATTAACCATGTTTTAAAAATGAGTATGTTATTTGATGTTAACCAGATAGTACAGTTTTCTAGGAAAAACACTGATATAGATACATTTTTAACAAAAACGGCAGATACAATTCCTTTACAATTTTACTTACTTAGTAAACAAGATTTGGTTTCCAAATATAATTATAACACCATAATTGGATTAGGCTTTAGGTAACACAGTAAAATAATTATTCCGCTGAACAAATAAAACTGTATAATGGATAAAGTATTTTAAATTGATATTTTTTTGGCATCGTTTTAGTTAAACTTATGATGAATATGAATAGTGTCTTATCAAAAGTACTAAATATTTGGATAATTTATTTCGATTCCGGTTTCCGAAAAACTGTAAATAAAAAATATGATACGATTCTACATAATTTTTGTTTTTAGCAAATTAATTGTTCTCACTTCTGTATGTTGTGATACATTTGAAATTTAAACCATCATACTTTTGAAAATATTATTCTTCAAATTATCTTGAACCAATTACAGGTGGAGAAAAACCAAAGATAATAGGACTGTCTTAATGGAAAAATATGAAATTCGTTTAAAACGAACGAATATTTAAAGAAGAACCATAGTTTATACCGACGAAACATATATACACAGCAGCTATACTCTACCAACCACTGAGCCGATCAAAGCGGAAAATCTTTAAAGAAACCAATTTAACCGGAATTATACAAGCCAATAAACTACGTTTGCCACCAGTTTATATATTAGATTATGAGCTTGAACAACATGGACATAAAGTACTTCATTCGCCTCCCTATCATCCGGAGTTAAACCCTATCGAAAAAATATGGGCTTTGGTAAAAGGTAGAGTGGCCACTCATAATACAACATTTAACATAAAAATGTAAACATTTATTAGACTCTACGCTGGGCCACTTACAATTTTTTATTAATACTGGTTCATCCGAAGAAAGCCTTTCTGATAATGAAGATAGCGATTAAAATTCCGGAATAGACGTGATTTTGTGTGATATTCCTTTGTCATATAACAAAACATAGAAATGTTTACAATCATTACTGTTTAGAAAATAAATACATTATTTACTTACAATTGGACTATAAACTTCATAAATATTAAAAACTATAAAAATAAAAATTAACAAATTCATTCTCACTTTATTTTAAAGCTACCGGTTTCTGTCCGCCACTGGTAGACGGTCCGCCCGTCTGCGCGAAACACTACGTCACATTCCCAAACTTAAGTTTGTCGGACTCTACTTATACTTATACTATATACTTGTATGTAGTAGTATTAGTTATTAGTATTCGTAAAATTCTGATATTGTCAATATCAACCTCTAGAAAGGGGAGATGTTACATATACGATACTTCACAGCGTTATGTTCATTTTACGGGATCTATGGTCATGGAGAGAAGTGACAGCTGGGCTGGGGATAGAGATTACACTTTTAATAAAAATCTTCACAAGTTAATCTTGCTTTATTACTTTAAATTAATATAAAGTCAACCTGAAATACCTACACTCTATAATATCAGTTTGCCTTTCAAAAAAAAGTTATTTAGACAATTGTATGAGTACCAAAAAATATCGAAATCAGTCGATGAAAATATGGAGATGAATAATTTAAAATTACTCTTTGAGTTACTGTTAATGTTAATTTATTATATCGGATCTAAATTAAAAAAAAAACTATCGTTCCATAACATGCTCACAAAAAAGTTTTACTTACTTATCCCAATATCTTTCACCTTTCCCGTTTTTTTCTGAGGCGATTTTACTTTTACAACATTGTATTCATTTCCTTGAATATTGTTTTGTTCACTGTCTTGTATTTTCATGTGCTTACCGGCAATTTTCAGTTCAGTATTTTGACATTTTGTTTCGGTTCCTTTATAAAGAGGTTCAAAGCCACCGGTAACTGATTCCTTATTTCTTGCAAAATCAACAACTACTGTAATAAAAAAAAGTTTTTGTAAATAATGAGTAGTGGAGTAATGAAAATGATATATATTTAGTTATTGTACCAATAACACTGTTCAAAAAGTATCGATAATATTTAACAATTTACTATAAGGTAAAACCGGATAACATTGACAGGGATTACTCCCATTGACACATTTTCGAATATCCCGTTTAGGTTTTATACGTCCAAGAAAAATGGAAGTTTGACGGTTTTAAAATTTCACGTGCAGTGTCGCCCTCCTGTAAGAATAAGCAAAAGCTGCTTAATAGTGCATTTTAAATTTTAAAAGGTTGTCAAAATTGAGCTAGAGAAAATTTGTCTGTTATGCGATAAGTAAATCTTTATTACTCTAGGTCATCCTGATGTGGCTGATCCTAAATGATGTGACACCGAAAAAACCATAGAACTCTCATTATTATCAACAAAATGCCTCAAACAGGCAAAAAAGGACAAGACACTGAAACGGAATAGAGTTTGAAGAAAATTTGCTGAATGTCTTACTAACGCAGAGGTTTTGGAAAGAATTCGTTCAGAAAGCACTGCAAGAAGTTTGAAAAAAAAAACCAATAAAAAGTCAATAAAGGCGAAAAAGAAAACAATTGAAAGTTCTGAGAGCGAAGTTAGTTTACGAATATAGTGGCAAAAACGAAAGAACAAGATTCTATCAAAATTGGGATTAGTGGGAATGAATTATATCATTACATTGGAAAGGTAACAAAAATTATTTCCGAAGGTATTGAAGTAGCAGTGACTTTCCTGAAAAAGAAAGAAAAATGTTTTGTATTTCCTACCGTTGCTGACGAAGCCACAGTTTTACTAAAAGATATAGTAAGGGTCCCGCCAAATCCAATGCTTGGCGTGGGATGCACGTTATATTATAATATACAGAGTGGCCCAAAAGTCTGGAAACGGCTAATTATCTCGTAAATTACTAGACATAATTATACAAAATTTGAGATACGCCTATTTTGGGATACGGAGATTCCATATTTGGTATTTGCAATGTTACCAGATTCTCAGTTTCTTTTATATTACTAGTAACTTTGGTTTTTCAAATGCATCACCCTGTATATTCAGTCATTATTGGAATCTCGTATTAAATACGAGTTCAACCATATGTAACACTTAGTCTAGAAGGTCTTAAATACATAAAACAGAAGTCTGGCAACGCCTAAATTGTTTCAATACATTTTTTAATACTAACTGTTTTCAAATACATTAAAACGTAACAATTGATAGTTTAGAATATTTTTTAACATAATAGTTACGTTATTAAGTGTTCAAAATGTGCTCCATTTGTGAGTTGTCAGCACTCTAATCGATGGTAGAATGCGTCTACCACATTTCTCCATGATTGTCTAGAAATTATTCGAGATTCATCGATAATTCATTGCCTTAGCTATGCAAGACTTGCTGGTTAAGTTTTGTAAACTGAATTTTTCAAGTATCTCTAATAAAAATAATCTTTAGGATTGAGATCGGGTGAAAGTGGAGGCCATTCAATTCTACCTTGTCTACCAATTTATCGTCCGGGAAATATCTCATCCAAATAACACCAACTATCTGACGTTAAATTTCTTTCGATAAAAAATGGCCCAATTAAATAAGTACCTACTATAACTGACCATACATTTAATTTTTGTTGTTTTTGAGTATGGTCTTCACACATTTCATTTCTCTCATCTTCATTGCCGAAGTAAAGTCGTTTTCTATTGCTTTCCATTATTTATAAAAATCAAAACAAATATACTTGACCACAAATGTGAAAAAACACGTGCCACGTGAGCTGATGAAATGTGGATGTTGAATCTAAATGTTGATATTTTGGTAATCGGGTAAGATCCCCTGGTGCATTCGGTTACTTTCGGCTTGATAGGGATGCGTATGAACGTAACATACCAGCCCGTTACGTTAGGTAAGTAATACGTATCTAGATATGTTAGTTCAACCATTAATGCGCATGCTTATAATGTCAAAAAGATACGTTACGTATACGTATTTGCTTGCATAAAAACCCTCTATTATCAACCCATTCATAACCAGAACCTTTCCAGTTGTATTTAGCCAACTAACTCATTCGAACAAGGTTGCGTTTTAAATTCATGTTGGTTAGGAATGGTTCATAACGAATTGGTAAGATTTACTAAATGTTTAATTTTTAGAATTATGGAACCGGAGTCGTTTTACATACTGGTCAAAATTACACGGTCTCCCCCTAACACTAAATACCTAGCAGTAACTAACACCTTGCATATCTAGCTCATATTTGCAAGATCGAGTGATTGAACTAGCAAATCTTCATTTTTGAAGATACGCCACAGCCTTAGAAAAGAGTTTCGGTGGTTTCACAGGTGAAAGGCCTCCGTTCTGGTCGAAAACACGTTATTTCGTTCACCTCGCCAAAAATCACGTTTGTTGATCATTCTGGAAAAACTAAATAAAGACAAATTATAATAGTGGTCGAAAAAAAAATACCTTTAATAACATCCTCTAAAACTCTAGGACACAATCTTGCAGTGATGGGCGTTGAACCATATAGTGCTGGATTTGAATTAATCTCCAATAACCAAGGTTTAAAATCTTCTGTTAAAATAAAATCAGCACCGTATAACTCAAAGCTGTTTTGTCTCTGGTCCATATTTTCATAATGCGTGAGCACAGCAGCTGTGATACATTCTTTCATTCCAGGAAATATGATTTTATTATAAACCGTTGGGTGTCCTATATCTATAATAATAATAAGACTTGAAATCGTAGGCTTCCACGGCCAGAGTCAGAATTATAGTTTATTCGTCTTCCGGGTTTGGACCGTGTCATTTGTGAGTGACCCAAAAGTGGGTTCATCTCGACGTTTCGCTACAATTGTATGTAGCTTCTTCAGGAGAACAAAGAAAAAGAAAAAGAAGACAGGAAGATGGGTAGTTAGCAACGGTGACTCAGTTACTCAATGCAACCAGAGGCGAATACTAACTACCAAGATGGGCATTTGGTCACAGTAACTCAACTACTCAACGCAGCCAGAGGTGAAAACCGAATGCCAGGACAGGGACTCACGTCCAACAGCTCAGAACACTAATGCGTCGAGAGGCGGGGAATGAATCCGACGATTACTCCGCTACCGCTCTATTTAAAGTCGTGGTGACCTGTCGTGTCGGGACGTATCGGCACACTCCGTGGCGCGAACGTCAAGAAGCGCGCGCTGGCCAATCATGTGGCTACATCGTGGTAGCGGGACCGGACGGCGGCTCTAGACTGAGATTCCAGATGGGAGACAAGTAGTATCCTTCCTCTCGATTGATATTATGTGTATTTTTTCGGATCTCTAGAGATTCGCGGATTTTCCTGGAATAAAAGAAGGGGCTCTTAGAAATAATATGGGTTTTTTCAAACAATATGGAATGACCGGTTTCTTGGCAGTGTTCTGCAACTGCAGAATGGGAGAAAAGACCTGATCGAATGCATCTTTGATGCTCTTGAATCCGAATTTTGACGGAACGACCAGTTTCGCCAATATACACATGTCCACATGAACAAGGAATAGAATAGACACCACAGGAAGATAGGGGCGGTAATGGGTCCTTAGGAGAGGGTAGATATTGTGAGATTTTCTTGGGTGGTCGAAAAGTAGTCCTGATACCTTCTTTGCGAAGAATTTTGCCAATCCTACCAGTGACACTTCGAATATACGGAAGAAAAGCCACAGGAGTATTACCCGAAGATTCTGAATTTGTCGTCCTAGGGTGTAAAGGGGGATGTAGATGTCGGTGTGTAATATTTTGAATTGTGGACTTGGAGTAACCGTTGGCGACAAGGGTTTTTTGCAGATGGTCAAGTTCTTCAAGGGACCGATTATTTTCTACTTCCATTGTGAATTTTATACTCGGATGTTGTGAGTTAAGATGATCTAGGAAGGGAGAAAGGGTATGTTGACCATGGGGCCAGATGATAAATGTATCATCAACGTAGCGGAACCAGACTTTTGGTTTTAAGGGGTAAGATTCTAGGGCTAAAGACTCAAAGACTTCCATGAAAATGTCAGCAATGACAGGGGAAAGGGGAGAACCCATTGGTGTTCCAGATATTTGTTTGTAGAAATTGCCTCTAAAAGAAAAATATGTTAAAAGGAGGCATTTTTCCGCAAGATCTGCCAAAACCAAAGACTTGTTATCATTGGTCAAGTGATCTCGCAGAACAACTAGAGAGTCATGTATGGGGATATTGGTAAATAGGGATGATACATCGAAACTGACGAGAATGTCTTGGGGATCGACCGTGAGGGAGGAGATTAAGGTGATGAAATGTGTGGAATTTCGGACATAAGAAGAGGTACGACCAGTATAGGTCTTAAACTGATTCGACATGGATCCTGGATACTCCTTCCTAGATAGAGAAAGTAAACGACTTACTTAGGGATACATCCTGTTATAATACAATTTCTCGAGACCCCACTCCTAGAGTCGAACGCGAAATTTCCCATGCCATCAAACAATCCGATCTTTCCGATGATGTTAAGAAGTCCATAGTTCCGAAAAACTCCATCTGCCCCAGAATTTACGGTCTTCCCAAAATCCATAAAGACAACGTACCTCTTCGTCCCATTGTGACTACGATTAACTCTCCTACCTACAAACTCGCAAAGTACTTGTCGAATCAGTTTAAGACCTATACTGGTCGTACCTCTTCTTATGTCCGAAATTCCACACATTTCATCACCTTAATCTCCTCCCTCACGGTCGATCCCCAAGACATTCTCGTCAGTTTCGATGTATCATCCCTATTTACCAATACTCCATACATGACTCTCTAGTTGTTCTGCGAGATCACTTGACCAATGATAACAAGTCTTTGGTTTTGGCAGATCTTGCGGAATATTTTTTCTTTCAACATATTTTTCTTTTAGAGGCAATATCTACAAACAAAGATCTGGAACACCAATGGGTTCTCCCCTTTCCCCTGTCATTGCTGACATTTTCATGGAAGCCTTTGAGTCTTTAGCCCTAGAATCTTACCCCTTAAAACCGAAAGTCTGGTTCCGCTACGTTGATGATACATTTATCATCTGGCCCCATGGTCAACATACCCTTTCTCCCTTCCTAGATCATCTTAACTCACAACATCTGAGTATAAAATTCACAATGGAAGTAGAAAATAATCGGTCCCTTCCCTTTCTCGATGTGTTAGTCACCTCCAAGCCCAATGGCCGTTTGGGTCACTCTGTTTATAGAAAAAAGACTCACACGAATCGTTACCTACATGCTTCATTACACCACCATCCTGCCCAAAAGAATTCTGTGATCAACTCTCTCATCCATCGGGCCATTTCGATTTCTGAACCTGACAACCTTAGAGAAGAACTTGGCCATCTGCAAAAAACCCTTGTCGCCAACGGTTACTCCAAGTCCACAATTCAAAATATTACACACCGACATCTACATCCCCCTTTACACCCTAGGACGACAAATTCAGAATCTTCGGGTAATACTCCTGTGGCTTTTCTTCCGTATATTCGAAGTGTCACTGATAGGATTGGCAAAATTCTTCGCAAAGAAGGTATCAGGACTACTTTTCGACCACCCAAGAAAATCTCACAATATCTACCCTCTCCTAAGGACCCATTACCGCCCCTATCTTCCTGTGGTGTCTATTCTATTCCTTGTTCATGTGGACATGTGTATATTGGCGAAACTGGTCGTTCCGTCAAAATTCGGATTCAAGAGCATCAAAGATGCATTCGATCAGGTCTTTTCTCCCATTCTGCAGTTGCAGAACACTGCCAAGAAACCGGTCATTCCATATTGTTTGAAAAAACCCATATTTCTAAGAGCCCCTTCTTTTATTCCAGGAAAATCCGCGAATCTCTAGAGATCCGAAAAAATCCACATAATATCAATCGAGAGGAAGGATACTACTTGTCTCCCATCTGGAATCTCAGTCTAGAGCCGCCGTCCGGTCCCGCTACCACGATGCAGCCACATGATTGGCCAGCGCGCGCTTCTTGACGTTCGCGCCACGGAGTGTGCCGATACGTCCCGACACGACAGGTCACCGCGACTATAAATAGAGCGGTAGCGGAGTAATCGTCGGATTCACTCCCCGCCTCTCGACGCGTTAGTGTTCTGAGCTGTTGGACGTGAATCCCTGTCCTGGCATTTGGTTTTCACCTCTGGTTGCTTTGAGTAGTTGAGTTACTGTGACCAAATGCCCATCTTGGTAGTTAGTATTCGCCTCTGTTTGCGTTGAGTAACTGAGTTACCGTTGCTAACTACCCATCTTCCTGTCTTCTTTTTCTTTTTCTTTGTTCTCCTGAAGAAGCTACATACAATTGTAGCGAAACGTCGAGATGAACCCACTTTTGGGTCACTCACAAATGACACGGTCCAAACCCGGAAGACAAATAAACTATAATAATAAAACTTAATTGAAGGAATATATCTACTTTAATATATTTTTCTTGGTTGGTTATTTTGAGGTAATTACTTAAGAATGTAAATTACATTTCGAAGAAGTTACAAATCGAAAAATATGCACAGAGTTTAAGAAGTCGACATATACAATTTAACATGGTATTGAATCATATAATTTCAGATGAAACAGGAGAGAGACCATATTTTTATGCTAAAAGTGCTACGGTACATCAAGGGTAAACATTACCGTTTTTGAACTATTTTCTAGTTGCATTTGATATTTCCAAATTTCATTTTTCTAAATTTCAACATGGAAAATTTTTTTGAAAAGAAAAAAAAATAAAACGATTTTAGAAGGTGAAATTGAAAGCAATTTTTTCCAAAAAAAAGAAAAAAGAAACGATTTAAGTGCAAATATAATGTAATAGAATAAAGTCAAATATAATGTATTGATAATTAATATTGGAATTTATTCTTATTAAATAAAATAGGTAACGATCAGCATATATGACAAGATACACTCCTAGAAGAAAGAGAAAAATATTCTACATGATCTATACGTGTTTACGTTCAAGGAGAATATATTAATGTGAAAGCAGAAAAGATAAAAAAGCACTAAAATCCATAAACAATAATAAGGCAGCAGGACTTGTATGTATAGCAGCAGAGCTACTAAAGAAAGAACCACCCAAGTTGACATACTAATTAATTTGTATTTTGAATACGATTTTCAATTTGGAAATCAAAATTAAATTATATAAATAATTTTCAAATAAATTAAGGATATATATAAAAATTCCACAAACAATAGTTTCAGAACAATCTATATAAAAAAATGTACATCTGGAAATCTCCATAGGATTCTGTGGGAAGGGTTTTAAGATTCCAGATTGAAGAAGGTGAACACACTGACTATATGAAAATCACGCGTGGAATAAGGCAAGGCTGTATTTTGTCTCCTCTAATCTTCAATCTGTACTCTGAAAGAATATTTATCGAAGCTTTGAACGAAACTGAGAAAGGTATTCTACTAAATGGTTATGGGCTAAACAACATGAGATATGCAGATGACACCATAGTATTTGCGGACAACTTAGAAGACCTACAAGTTCTTATGAACAAAAGCACATATTACAGTCAACAATATGGACTCAATATAAACGTTAAGAAGACAAAGCTTATGATAATTAACAAGAAAAGGATAACAGAAGGGGAACTCTACGTCAACCCATTCCATGTAGATAGAGTGACACACTACAATTACCTCGGCACCATAAAAAATGAGGAATGGACCAACAACCAGGAGATTAGAGCACGCATCTGAAACGTTAGATCCACCTCGAATCGGATGGGGGTCTTCTTCAAGAGTTAAAACCTCTCTCTTGATACAAAAGTAAGAATGCTGCGATGCTACATCTTCTCTGTCCTTTTTTATGGTGTTGAATCGTGGACCTTGAACGAAGATATGTGCAGAAAACTGTAAGCATTTGATAAGATAAAGATTGCCATGATGATCGTCAACATTTGTAACAGATGAAGAAGAAACATGAAGAAGAAAAACCCGTTATAGGTAATTCCAAAGTCGTAATGAAGAAGGTTACAAGTAAGTCGATGAAGAAGTATGATGTTAGAAAACTGAATAATCCCAATGTCCGACTGAAGGTGAGTAAAATTCCTTAATACAAAGGTGCTAAAATGCAGAAATGCAGGAACTATACACCTGAACGAAGAAACATACAGAGAAACGAAAATCGTGGATGACCGATGAAATACGTGAACCTATGGACCAGAGAAACAGTAAACAATAAACAGTAAACAATAGTAAACAATAGTAAAGGTGAACGATATAGAAACAAATAATATACCGATTGCGAGAGGGGTTAGGCAAGGATGCGTCTTGTCTCCGACGCTTTTCAACGTGTACTCACAGGTCATATTCAGAAAAGCCTCATGGGAAGAAAAGAGGGAATAAGAATTGGTGGAGAAATCATAAACACCATGAGATTTGCAGATGACACGGTAATTATGGCTGAGAGTATAGAAGATCTACAAACTTTACTAGATGCAATAAATAGTGAATGCATTCAAATGGGACTTGACATCAACACAGATAAGACCAAATTTATGATAGTATCAAGGAGTCCAATAAATAATGAACAACTAACTCTTGGTGGACAGCAAATAGAGAGGGTGACAATATATAAATATCTGGGAGCTTACATCAACACAGAATTAGATCCAGACCAAGAGATCCGGGTACGAATAGAAATGGCAAGGGCAACGTTCTTAAAATTCAAACAATTGTTCTGTGACAAAAATCTGAATATTGCGCTGAGACTGAGGTTTGTTGAATGTTACGTCTGGTCGGAATTATTGTACGGGGTAGAAACATGGACACTAAAAGCGCAAATAGTTAAAAATATTGAAGCCTTTGAACTTTGGATATACCGGAGAATGTTGAGAATCCCATGGACTGCCAGGGTCACCAATGAGGAAGTGCTGAGAAGAATGGGTCGAGTCAAAAAATTGTTGAGAACGATAAAAGTACGCAAGACTGCATACCTTGGACACATACTAAGAAATAATAAATATAGTCTTCTGCAGGTCATCATGCAGGGTAGAGTCGATGGCAAAAAGGGAATAGGTAGAAAGAGGAAGTTATGGCTGCGAAATATTCGAGACTGGACAAACATGACTGTAGACGAATTATTCCACGTTGCAAAAGACAGAGAAGCCTTTAAAAATGTGGTCGCCAACCTCCGTTAATGGGGACGGCATAGGAAGAAGAAGATGGACCAGAGAAAAAAACAAAGCAAATTTCCAAGAATATAAGAGAATACACACCATCGTCTGAAACAAGATAAGATAAGCCAAAGAGAAACAAAAACAGAACAATGTCAAGAAATAGAAGAGTATTGAGTAGATTTGATAACTTTAATGTCCATCGAAAGGTGAAAGAAATAGCTGGAAAATAACAGATGAATACTTGGAGAAACTTTTACACGACCTTAGAACAATACCAGAACCGACCATTGAAGAAAATACAGGTCCCGAAATCCTACCAGAAGAAATAACGGCAGCCGTCAGACAATTGAAGGATTGAAAGGAACCGGGACTTGATGAAATTTCTGCTGAACTGCTGAAGCTATTAGATGCTGAGCAAATAAAAATAATAATTGAATTATTTAATGAAATATACAGGGCAGGAAAAATACCAGTACAGTGACTCAAATTGAAGTTTGTACCATGCCCGAAAAATCAGGAGTAAAAGTTTGTGAATACTATAGAAGTATAAGCCTAATGAGCCATCTACTAAATTTGTTTTTAAAAGTCATCCACAAAAGAATTTACCGGAAAGGCGAGGACCAAATTGCTCCCCAATCAGTTTGGATTTGTGAACTCCGTTGGTACTAGGGCAGCTTTATTTAGCGTTTAGCGTGCAGATATTATTTTAGAAATGTAGAGATGTCAGCTGTGATGTTTTTGCATGCCTGATTGACTACAAGAAGGCTTTCGATAGAGTCAGGCATTAACAAAGACAGGGATTGACGGAAGATACCTAAAAATAATAGCTAACCTGTATTGGAATCAATCAGCGGTGCTCTGAATAGATGGAGAATATACAAATCAGGTCAAAATCTTAAGGAGAGTGAGACAGGGGTACATCATTTCTCCACTGATATTCAATCTGTTCTCGGAGCCCATTTTTGGAGAGGCTCTAAAAGATATTGATGGAAGCATCTTAATAAATGGATATAATGGATAAGCTCTATAAACTGCGATATGCAAACGATACAATAGTGTTTTCTAATACCATAGAAGGGGTGCAAAACTTAATGAACAAAATAACGGAAACAAGTAGAACATATGGACTGGATATAAACACCAACACAACCAAGCTAATGATCATCAGCAAGGAACATATAACTGTAGCAAATCTGTATGTAAACCAAATGAGAATTGAACGTGTCTCACAGTATAACACTTCTAAGTCTCCTTAAATGCTACATGTACTCAGTGCTTCTGTACGTAGTAGAAATATGGAATGAGAAATCAAGGCATATATAATCTACTCAAATGCATTTTGCAAGGTAAAATTGAAGGAAAAGGGGCCCCAGGACAAAGAAGAATATCCTGGCTTGCTAATCTCAGACCATGGTGTAGAAAGATCTCAACATAGCTCTTCCGTATAGCAACCAACATATCATCAAAGTCATCATAGCCAGAATGATCGCCAACGTTCGGAAAGGACAGGCACCCTAACAAGGAGAAAAGTTCATTCATTTGTTCATAAGTGTGTACAAAACATATTAGTCTTTTGCAATTGTTGGTTGCGGTAAAGTATAACTTATACGGGCTGTTGGTAGAAAAAGTATAACTAGTTTACTTAACTAGAGTTAGTAAACTAAACTAGTATAACTAGTTAACTAACTCTTTTATTAGAGTAAGCAGGGCGACTAGAAATATCAAAATAAATAAAAAAAAAATGAATTAAATTCTAGAAATAATTAAAAGTACAATAAAAGTTGGAATCATAAACATATAATAACTAGACAGTGCGCTGCAATCTAAATCCGTTCCCCAAGTGAACAGAAAAAAAAACGCGAGCGGTCCTTGTATCTATTTCTTATGGATAGGGTTTATCGACCACGTGATGTCCCTACTGGAGATTTTTTGGTAATTGGAAGATCAGTGGTCGATAGACTTGGACATTAGAAAGAGAGATGCAAGGACTGCTCGCATATTTTTTCTCTAACAGCTAACTTGGGGAACGGCTTTTGATTGTAGGGTGCACTGTAGGTATTGTTTATGGTTAGAATGTAGTGTTTTTGAAGAAATTTATAGTTTCAGAAGAATAAAATAATAAATAATTTCAAAATTTCGTCTAAAACCTGATAAGTAGTTCCTAAACTGAACAGAGTCCCACATGTTAAAACTTGGTAAGTTCATATCCCGTGTTTGATTCTGGTACTTGCATTGAATGGAATTGTTTGTAAGATGTATTGACTCATGTAGTTTCCTTAAGCTGTAGGTTTGGGAACTGAATCTTACATAACACTGCCTAAAACATAAATAAACTACAATCTTAAATAATCTTAATCTAAACCTTCATTTTTTAGTTACTGATTTGTGAGCTTATATAGAATCAGAGAGCAATGGGTATATGTAATAAACGGAAAGCCTATGTCTAACAGTAAACGTTGGAGATGTTCCGCGATTATCATATGTAGAGCAGTGAACGGGAGGCTTATGTCGAACAATGGACGTTGGGGTTATTTTTTGTGTGAATAGACATTTATGTAATCGTATTCTATTCATTAAATCCTGTCACGTGATATGTCATATACTTCGGTGCGTTAAGCTGTTTTATTGATAATTTTTCGACTGTTCTAACAACCATTCAAATGTCGTCATTTTGTGTCATGTGGAACAATTTCACCCAATCATATCAACATTAGACTGATAATTGCATTCAGTGCAATTTTCAATCCCTATGACAACACGATCTATTTTGACAACTTCATCCAAATAAATTTCAAAATGTCACGTTTTGGCAATGAGAATGTTCAAAGTATAAATGCGCTAATCAAAGAAAAAACTAAGAGATAAATAAATCAATTAAAAGGAGAAAAAGATAACAAATCACTCGACTAGATCAACTGCTGTTAGCGAATTAGCAAAAAGTGGTGTAGAAGAACAACAATTGCTAAAAAAAACCATACTTAAATCTCGATCAAGAACACCACAACAAGATTATAAATATTATGCGTGGTAATAGATCTTCTATAGTAGAGAACAGCAACGAATCTAATGTTAACTTAAATTTTAATGATTGTACTTTCACTAACTGTACTTTTAATAAATAAATGTTTCGTTATGTTGAGTTATGATTTTTTTTTTCGAAAAATTATCCGCCGAATATCCCTCGGAGATTGATGAATGCCTCATAATTTCATGACAAATTTCTCAAGCTCGTTGCTTGGTAACAGCACGCAGCCGAAGGCCTTCGGCTTCGTGCTGTTACCAAGGAACGAGCTTTCGATTGTCATGAAATTATCTCGTCTGTTATCAATGTCCTAGGGATATTTCTTCTGATAACAGTTTAAAAGTTACTACATGCCGCCATGTTTGATGTTCCTTCACAGACGTATTCTATTCCCTAAATTCTATTATATGGGACACCGTACGTCATGATTGGATACGCAACTAAGGCCTTTTGGCATGCTGCTGTATTTGATTTGAAAACGAATGATTAAACTAATTAAAAAAGAAGATAAGTTGGTGCCATGATGCTATTATTTATGATTTTGTTTATGACTTTACATAAGTTTTAGTAATAGCAGTATAATATAGTAATACCGAATCAAATATACTGCATTTACGAATATACGACCTATTTCGGAATAGTACTAGAGCTGTAAAAACCTACACAGTTGCGGAAATAAACCGTTTCTTTGTGCCAAGTTGTAAATTAAGCTTAAGGTTAAATACAGACAGGGCGGTTTGCGCCGCGTCTGCACCTCGTCGGCTGCCGCGCGGCTTAAAACAGCGGTTTAACAGCGGCAGTAGTTTTGCCACTGTATTTGGTGTTGTCAAATTTAGTCGAGTTTTGGACGTATAATGGTATAATGATGTCTCTAGAATCATCTAGTGAAAGTTACGACGATTTGTTTTTCCTAATAAGTGCAAGTTTACTTCATAATTAATCAAAGAAGAAGAAGAAACGCAGGTATTAGATACATTCTACAGTAAATGAATGAAAAGATAAAGGAACGTTTTACACGTTAGTTAACGAATTTAAAGATGGCCCAGAAAAGCATCTTTCGAAATAAAACTGTAAGTAACCTATTCTCAAGTTTGTTTTTTTCTTTATTTTATTCGAATAATTATCTGAACGCATATCCCAAATTGCTGGGCGTGTGTGAATTTCGGTAATTAATTTGTTGATGTCTACAGCTTCCATAATATATACAAAAGTTGGCAAACACTCACAAAAGTAACCAAATAAAGCCGCTGCAAAACAGTCACACGTCTCTGTTGAAGCACGAGATATCTATTACAGATGTGCCGCCGGAAGTCATAAAACCGCCGACGGCGCATGATACTCAGCATAGGCCGCGCGGCAGCCGACGAGGCTCACGCCGCCCTGTCTGTGTTTAACCTAAGATACTTACAGAGTCATTTGAATCGAATAGAATATGCCTTAGTGTCCTCACAACCCTAACATACGTAACCAAATATCTCAAAGAGTTAACTCGAAATACAGAAAGCAAAGAAAACATTAAAAAAATGCAGAACCATCAATTAACACTGGAATAATATTCAAAAACCGATTTTGCAGCAAATGAAGACATTTTTAAAAGCAACTAAACTGCTAATAAAAAATAAATGAATGATCCAAGGAATTCTGGATCCAATGAATATACAAAGAAGCTATAACAATAGGAACACTAACAATAACCATAATATCAATAATGCCATAAAAAGGAAAATTAAACAGGACAAATAATTTTGGCAAGAAAAAGCTTGTAAAAAATCAAAGACTTCCAGAAAAAGTACGACATCGTCGATCTTAATAAAAAAAACTCAAATATACTACACGAATTAGAAAACCAGAACATGCTTACCTACTTATGGATTCCAACGGAAAAAAATCTTGGCCATAAACAACATCGAAAATAATGGGAAGATAATGTTACTGGTCTTTTTCAAGATGACAGTAGAGAAATCTTGTCATACGCTATTTGTAACAACGACAGATAGAGGTCCCAGTATATTGAAATCAAATGTGAAAAGAATAATAAAACAAATAAAAAATAATAAAACGCCTAGAATGGACCAAATTCACGCCGAAATATTTAAATTTCTGGATAAGAAGATTATCGCCTGGTTAACCACTTTCTTTAATAAAGTCTATAATGAAGATTGTAGATACACCAGATGTTGAAGATACACCAGAAGATTGGCTTTAGTCGCTCTTCATAACATTTTCGCAGGACAGTAAACCCTCAAAAAGTGGCGTATTTAGAATTATTACGATTATTATCCAGATTTAGCCATACGGCTCACACTCCCTTCAAGCAAAATTTAATTATCTCAGGTACCTACTGTATCAAAAGGATTAAATTTAGGTGGGACTCTTTCCGTGTTATCAAGCCCTAGGTAACTTGGTTGGCTTCGAAATGACTCCATTAGTAGAGAGAATAATAGGTATTGTCTGAGTACTTTCCATTCTCCACTGTCTTCGTATTTGAATTTCCAGATCCCTGTACTTGACAATCTTTTCGTTCTGTTTAACACGAAGATTATTGTTGTTCAGTATCGCCACATCAATTAGGGTTGTTTGTCTCTTTAAGTTTATTAACTAGTATAAGATCTGGTCTATTATGTGCCACTGTTTGGTCTGTGAGCACAGTGTGGTCTCAGTATAGCTTGTAGTTATCATTATCAAGTATACTTTCAGGAACGTATTGATAATATGGGAGATGGTTTGTTTGGAGAAGTCAAAGTTTAATGGCTGTCTTTTGATGAAGGATCTTTCCTACTGATTCGTGCCGTTCTTTATATTCAGTTGCAGCAAATGCCTGGCAGCCCCCGGTAAAATGTTGGATGGTTTCTTGAGCTTGACATCCATTTTGGCATTTGTTATTTTGGACCTGAAGGTCTTTGACGATATATTTTAGGTAATTTTTAATTGATGTAACCTGATCCTGAATGGCGAGTAACGAACTTTCTGTTTCAGGGAACATCTTTCCTGATGTCAGCCAATAGTTCGACGCTATATTGTCGACATGGTCTTGACTGACCTCATTTGGATGTCGTCCGTGCAGAAGTTTACCCATCCAGGTGCGCATTTTTTCGTTCTTTGTAAGATGGTTTATGTGCATTTCTGGTTCTCTCAGTTTGATCGGTATTGTATCATATACTGCACAAATTGCACAATGTAGATTAGATTTGTCAGCTTGCACCTAAAAATAAGTTCCTAAATTAGTAATCTGTTTTTCCTGTTGCTCACTTATATCCATAAGTCCTCGTCCTCCTAAATACCTCGGTAATGTCGTTCCTTCTACTGCACTTCGAGGAATGGTGTTTTTATGCCTTTCTGAGGTGTGTTCATACTTTTCGCTGAAGATTTTTTATATCCGTTTTTATCCACTTAACAATACCAAATGAGTAGCTAAGCGCGGAATATGCGTAGGTGTTTAGTGCCTTAAATAAATTTTTACTGTTAAGAAGTGAACGAAGCAGCTATTTTACCCTTCGTATAAACTTAGTAGTAATCTCAATTTTCATTTGCTTATGGTCAATCTTTGCTTTATTCCGAGGTATTTATACATATTTTCACCCATCGCCTCGATCTTCTGGCCGTTTCGCATATCGAATCCACCGGGCTGAACCTTTCCTTTGATTATATTTAAGACACGGCACTTGTTAAGACCGAAGTGTATACTAATATCATTAGAGAAATTTTCTACTGTTTTCAGCATCTGATCCAGGTGGCTTCTAGTGGAAGCCAATAGTTTTAAATCAATTATATTCAATAGATGATTAAGCTTTGTCACAACAGTAGTGTTATTTTTGATGCTAAAACCTATGTCAGTTGAGTTCAGAAGCTGAAATAGGGAGTTCATTGCTAGAAAAAACCACAGTGGACTCAACGAGTCTCCTGGAAATAGGCCCTGGTTGACTGCAATATTTTCAGTTTCGATATTATTTTCACCAGGTATTTGGAGGTGAATTTTTGTCTTCCAACCTGACATTATATGTTTTCAAAAGATCACTATGTTATTGTCGACTTTATATATTTTTATTATATCTATTAGCCATTCATGCGGTACTGAATCAAACGCTTTCTCATAGTCGAAGAAAGCAGTCAAAGATTCTTTTTTTGCTATATTCTTGATTAGAAATGACAGAGTCGATGATAAGTTGTTCTTTGCAGCCCATGAAACCCTTAGCGTACAGTTTCTGTTGAGGCTCTATGATATTTTTTAGAGCAGTGTTGGTAGTTACGATTATTATTATTGCGTTTTTGTAGACTACATTATAATGCGCTCCCTAACTTTCGCGTGATTGGTTGGTGGGTGGGTCCCAATTTAAAAATTGGCGGGTTTCATGTTTATTAAAATGACAATAAAATTGAGGTATTGTGGCACAAAGCGGGTGATATTCACATTTTAGGATTAAGCTGACTAGTACAGTTTTATTAGAAATTAAAATTTATTTTTCTTTTGACATTATGTAGGTAAAATTAAATTCAGACATTGTGTTTATTTAATTTTGATATGCTAGTGATGCTTTTTTTTATTAGATAGGTATATAGATATTGTTTTAATTTTTTTGTTTAGGTAATTTTTTATTAAGATTCTTTTATTAAGATTATTAATTCCTCTTATCATTTTTATTTCTAGAACATTCATTACCATTATTATTCTCATTAGCTTTCTCTATGTGGAATCGGCTTCTCTAAATATTTTCCTCTAAGAAATAAACTTTTCTGTTCTCTTCCAGGGACTAAGTACCTCTCCGCTTTTTGTATGAGATTATGGTTTTTCAGAAACATGTAATTTCTGTTCATCCCCTTTTTTACTGCCATTCATTCAGTACCATACATCATAGCTGGTCTAAAGGCAGTCCTATACAATTTACCTTTTAGTTTTCTTGGTACCTTTTTTATCATACATCACTCAATTTGCCTCTTTCCTTTACCTTTAATTGAAATATTAGAGATAAAACGGTAATACCAATCCTAAAAGCCGAGCATTATAATCTTTTATGAGTTCTTGTCTATCCAAGCCAACTACTCTATCTGGTCTGGAAATTTCATCTTTAAAAGAATATTCTAAATATTTTGTTTGTATCCAACTTAATTTTAATCATTTTTCTTCAAGGACCTGTCTCCGCTACTCTTTTCTACTAATACCCAGGAGGTTCAGTTGTTATCTAATCCAGCACAAATGAGAATAAATATGGGCGAAACCCTGATTTTCACCTATTTTTACACAAAATTTGCCAGTTTCACCTGTAATCGTTCTAACACTATAATAGTTGTTTTAACACTATTATAGTTGTTACTTGCTCATACTTCACTCACATATTCAGCCGGCACTCCTTTCCTACTTAATCTCTGCCACAGTAGGTTTCTGATATCTTTATCATGTGCTTTCTCAAGTTTAATAATACAATGTAAATTCACTCTAAATTGTTAAATTAGCTCTTTTAATAAATATTGCTTGTTGTAGACCTGCCTTGCCTAAATCCAAATTAACATTTATCCATTTTCATTTTTTAGAACCTTACATTGAATTCTACAAAATGAAGCTGAGGTTTACTGGAAATAACGATTGCAAACCAAATAAAACACTAAATTGCTATATCTAAAATATCTTTATTCTTTAGAAAATCTGGGAAATCAAAGGAGGGGGGCCGTTATTGGTGCAATGGCGAAGGAAAACCCCTCTAAAGTTCTCCTAAATTGTATAGGACTGCCTTTAGACCAGCTATGATGTATGGTACTGAATGTAGGGCAGTAAAAAAGGGGATGAACAGAAATTACATGTTTCTGAAAAACCATAATCTCATAGAAAAAGCGGAGAGGTACTTAGTCCCTGGAAAAGAACCCAAAAGTTTAGAGGAAAATACTTAGAGAAGCCGATTCCACATAGAGAAAACTAATGTGAATAATAATGGTAACGAATGTTCTAGAAATCAAAATAATAAGAGGAACCTCTAAATCTTAATAAAAAATTACCTAAACAAAAAATTAAAACATTATCTATATATCTAATAAAAAAAAGCATCACTAGCATATCAAAATTAAATAAACACAATGTCAGAATTTAATTTTACCTACATAATGTCAAAAGAAAAATAAATTTTAATTTCTAACAAAACTGTACTAGTCAGCTTAATCCTAAAATGTGAATATCATCCGCTTTGTACCAATACCTCAATATATTGCTAATAAATTGTTTAGCGATATACTGTGCCACAATATCTCAATTTTATTGTCATTTAATAAACATGAAACCCGCCAATTTTTAAATTGGGACCCACCCACCAACCAATCACGCTAAAGTAAGGGAGCGCATTATAATGTAGTCTCGTTTTTGTTGTATATAGACGTGTAAGAATATGGTAATTATACGAAGAATGTTGCGTTTCGATTTAATTTGAGTCTCTTACCACTCCCTGACACGTGTTTCTGGGTCTACCCGTCATCAGAAGGAGTTTGTAAGAAGACTCAAACCAAATCAAAACGCACCGATTACTCTGGCAATTACATGACAATAACTACCAGAGTATGCAACTAGAGACCTCTAGTGAGGCAAGATGAAGATACGTCGATAGCAATTATGGTAATTGTTGCTATGGCATGGTGAGCCATATCTTTTGATACTCGCACAAGTCATGCGTCCTCATTGAGAATAGAACGTTGACTACACATATGTTACTTACGAAGATTATCATCATAGTCATTAACACAAACAGTATACTGTTTGTTGGGAAGCTTTTTTAATGTATGTACGCCTTCCTTGGACAAACAGTGGCTCTATTTTGTTGTCGCGTCAACTTTTTATTTCTAAAGTAAACTGTAATAGAAAGACGTTTATTAATTTTAATATTATCTAGAACCGAAACATTCCTACAGCCAGTCGTCCAGTCGAAGTAGTCGTCGTTAACCCGATTCTTTGACTGTCCAAATCTCCTATGACTAGAAAAATATAGAAAAGATCAGTTATTCTTCTTCTTCGCGTGCTATTTCAGAATTATCCGATGTTGGCGATCACCATGCAGCTTCTCGATCTTCTGCCACATGGAATAAGTGTCCTGTATTTGATGTCTGAGTCCATTCACGAATTTTTTTAACCAAGAAATCTATTTTCTTCCTACACCCCTACGGCCTTCCATTTTTCCTTTAAGAATCACTTGTAGTATTCTATATCGATTAAGTGATTCCGGTGTTTAACGGTGGTTGGCAATTTTTTTTTCTTTTTTGGTCCTCCTTAGTACTTCCTCATTAGTTTTTCTTTCTGTGAAAGGTATTGGACAGTAAGAAAATGCTTTTGAGTCATTAGCCTCTAGCAAGCTGTATGCGTTTTTTAATTTCGGGTTTGCAACTGTATGTTGCTGTATTTTTTGCCTGTGTTATTGGAGATCAATAATAGAAATTCTAGAAAATCATATTTTCCCATTTACGGTTATTCTTGGAGACAACGCAAAATTTATGCATGATCATACACAGTCCCAGACTGCACGTATAATTTATTAAGTATCTTGGCGAGATTTATATTAAACGTTTCGTTGGACTTGCTTATAATCCATATTTAAATAACATTGAATATATTTGGACTGGAATGGGAAGGGATGGGGAGACGTTTATCAAACGGATGTATGTAGTATGTCATTTGCAAACTGTCAGTATTACCAGAGGAGGAAACACTTATACTGAAGTCGTTAATTTTTTTTGTTGTAATAAAAAGCATATCAACAATAAAAATTGCTTATTATCCCTAGTCTTAATAAACTTAAGAAACCTTAAGAAAAATAAAAACTACACGGCAGTGTGTATCGAAAACTAAAAAAATATTTGATAAAATACCTGTAAATCCATATTGTGAGAGGATTTGCACAACTTATTAAAAACCATTGGCGAATGTCGAATTTTGTGTTGTATATAAGCAGGGGTCGTTCTAAAAATAAAGGAAATTAGGATAAAATGTAATGTAAAAGACTAGTAAAAAGCTTTATAAAAAAACTAAAATAGTTTCTTAACTCAATAGTTAATGGAGATTTCTGTTTCATTAATGCGTCAACAACACTCTTTTAATTACATGCACATAAGAAAGTGGATATTGTCAAATGCCTCGACACCATACAAGACAATTGACCATTAAATAACATAATATATAAATTAAACAACAGCGGGGACAGCACACGACCTCGTCTGACTCCCTTTAGAATCTTACGCTCTTCTGTCGACCTCTCATTAAAACGAATGCTCGCTGTTTGACGCCAATATAATGTCTAAATGATCTTGACGTCACGATTATCAGCTACATTATCTCTTAATATTTTAATATGATGCACCGTTTTGAATACCTTTTCATAATAAAAAAAACCCGAAAAGATATCTTTGCATTAATCGTGACATTTCTGTCGAAAAACATGCAATGCAAAAAGTGCTTCCCTAGTTCCAAACCCATCTCTAAAATCAAACAACTTTTTCGGTATTTTATTATCTACAGGGTAAAATTAAAATGCTACAACGTTGTTACTTGTACGTACACGTGATTAATAAAAAACTTACCAATATATTTCTGAATAATATACCTTCTTTGGGGGTTATTTTTGAGAGTATCTAAAACATATTTAATTGTTCTGCACATATGTATTCCAACACCTCTACAACTATTGGCGGGCTTTAAAATCCAGATATTCATAACACCATCCATATTCAAAAAAGGCCAGTATTCTTTGAGTTTTTCCAAAACAAACGTTGCTCTTCGCACCAAGTCTTTTTCTGAAAACGTTAGTTTTTGTTTCTTATTAAATGAAACAAGATACACTTGCAGATGCATATAGTAAGCAAAATATTAATATAAAGACCTAAAATTACTTCAATTTTTATATTAACTACGATATTTTTTAGAAATCTTTTTCTTTATTCGTACTTATTATATATTTAACGATCTCTTAATTCAGTTGTTGAAGTATTTCTTGAGAAGTAGACTCCCAGCTATCTCTCCATATCTTTGGTGGTCTCCCTAGTAGTCCCTTTGCCAGGCAAATGCCAGGACAGGGATTCACGTCCAACAGCTCAGAACACTAACGCGTCGAGAGGCGGGGAGTGAATCCGACGATTACTCCGCTACCGCTCTATTTATAGTCGCGGTGACCTGTCGTGTGAGGACGTATCGGCACACTCCGTGGCGCGAACGTCAAGAAGCGCGCGCTGGCCAATCATGTGGCTGCATCGTGGTAGCGGGACCGGACGGCGGCTCTAGACTGAGCTTCCAGATGGGAGACAAGTAGTATCCTTCCTCTCGATTGATATTATGTGGATTTTTTCGGATCTCTAGAGGTTCGCGGATTTTCCAGAAATTAGAGAAGCCATTTCAAAACTGAAAAATAACAAAGGCCCTGGTTTGGACAATTTTCCTGACGAACTCTTTAAAAATGGTGGTGACACCCTTTTTTAGGCAGATATCTAGAAAAAGAGCTGTTTTACAAATAAAATTTTCTTTTTTTTGGCCTGTGAGTATATACTTGCAGCTTTATTATTTATAAGAAGTTCACTCTTTACTCATATTTATACCTGTTACACAAGATTCTTCCTTGAAATGATTGCCGATATGCACAATCTTGTAAAAATATTCCAGAAATTCATTCCATTCTAACGATACTGCTTCCTTTATTTCATGGTCAATATCTAAAAATATTAAACTAAATGTTAGTAGAAGTTATAAAATCAAATACTTATGTATGTTTTAAATAGTCCAGTTACTGAATTTTTTTACCGCTTCGAATCCTCTAAAATAGCGTTTTGAACGCATAAACGGATTAAAGTAGAATGTATAAAAATTAAGTTATTTAAGATAATACGAGTAGATAATTGAGACATTCAGAAGCACAATGTCATCATCATCATCTTGGTGCTACAGCCCTTAGAGGGCCTCGACCTTCTCAAGCTTTCTACGCCATTCTGTTATGTCCCTTGCTTGCATTTTCCAGTTGCCGAGTCCGATCTTCTCCGCATCTTGTGTTACCCCATCCATCCACCTCAGCTTTGGTCTACCCCGTCTTCTCATTCCCACGGGTTGCGCTGTTAGAATCTTTTTTATCATTGTCGATTCAGGGGCCCGGGCTACATGTCCTGCCCACTGCAGGCGGTTTCGCTTAATTATAATAGTAATATCTTTACCACCAAACGTATATGCTTATAGATATTCTGCAGTTCAAAGTTATATCTACGCCTCCATATTTCGTTCTCACAGACCGCTCCGAATATCTTGCGTAGCACCTTTCTTTCAAAAATCGATAGAGCGGATTCATCTGTTTTAGTTAACGTTCATGCCTCTGATTCATATGTAAGTACAGGGACTATCAGTGTTCTATACAACCTTATACGAGTTTTTGAGACAGACGTTTGTTAGCTAAATACTTTGATATACCATGATAACACCTGTTTGCAATTATTATGCGCCTTTTTATTTCATTAGATGTGTCATTATTGGGGTTAATCGATGTCCCTAGATATATGAACTCTTTGACTGCTTCGAAGTTTTGGTCATTGATGAATAAATTCGCGTCAACATTTCCAGCTCTTGTGTTTGTGTTAGTCGCCATGAATTTGGTTTTATTTTGATTTATAATGTAATTCCATTCGTTCTGCTGCTGTTACTAGCTCGGTTAGGATTTCTGCAGTTCTCGCCCTGGTTCTTGTTATAATGTCCACATCGTCTGAATATGCTAGAATTTGGACTGATCTATTAAATATTGTTCCCCTGCTATCTAAATTAGCGTTTCGTACAACTTTTTCTAAGGCGACATTAAAAAGCTGACACGCCAGCGCTTCTCCCTGCCTTAACCCCCTATGTATTTCAAATGGGGTTGACGAGTCGTTTTGAATTTTTACTGCTGATATAATCTTCGCCATTGTCACTTTTATCAAACAGATAAGTTTTTTTAGTATTCCTAACTCATTTATAGCGTTCAGAAGGACAATGGCCTAAGTGTAAAATTGATGTTTTGTAATTGTATTGTAACCTACAAGTATTGGAGACAGTCATGTATGTACAAATAGAAGCCAGTTTAATATTTCGATTCTAACCTCCGCATTGATCGCTGTACAAGATCAAAACCGGAGTGTTAACATACATTTTTACGTAGTGTAAAATCCAAGAACCAATTTCTTGCAGGCCACGTGAGGCTATGCCTTCATGACATACATACATGTATATTTGACCTGTCGCTAGATTGTGGATGCCAAAACAATACATCCACAGCTATCTCTTGTAATAAGCCGCTCCCGTAGAAATACTAGCAGTAGCTAAAACTTTCATCAAATCAAATGTAATTACTGTTGTGGTATCTTTATCCTTGGCTGCATCTTCCTTCATTTCACTTTGAGCTGCTTCTACCTTCCGTAGGTGTAAACTCTTTTTTAAATTTCATTCTGCTTTTTTCTAAACCTACACAGCTTTTTATTTTCATGGTATAAGCGTCACATTATTTGCAAGTGTTAGTAAGAGGATAATGGAAATGAAGATTAACATCTTCATTTAAATTTTCGAAAAGACGAGTTTGCATACCTTCACATCTGGTTCTTCACTTTACATATACACATGAAAAAGTTTTAAGATATTTAAATCAGGTGAGAGGTATTCTCGATTAGAATTTTTGTTACGACTATAGTGGGATGTATATTTGCCACCTCTTGATTTATTTATTAAAGCTCTGGTGAGCCTTCCCTCTGAAACTTGTAGAGCTTTTTCGAAAAATGATTTGCAAATAGTTACCATATGACCTGATTCTTTTGGTAATGAATAAATTCGTATCTAAGAACGTTTATTATGATTTGGAGATGCTGTAGGTGCTTTATTAACAATATTTACTTGAATGTTAATGTAAGCAGTCTGTAAAATAAGAATAGTTATAGAAACTTTTTAAGGAAATTATTTTTTCTTTCTTCAAGAGATAACAACAAATGACGCTTTCGTGGTCAGCTACAAACTTCATGACTTGTTTCTGAGACATAATTTTACCACGAGAAAATTAAAATATAATATCCCTGAACTTCTCTCTAACTTATACTTGGATATTTTCCAAACTGACTTATTTTTTTTTACGTTTTTTGCTCCTACTTGATCCAGGTTCCACCTTCCATCTTCTTTGAAGCTTTCCCTAGTAGAAGACTCATCATCAGATGGTGGATGGAAGTCAGAGCCAGAATCTGTTTCATTTTCGCTGGGTTCATGAGTACTGGATGTATTCTGGACGGCATTTCCAAACCATAACAAAGATATTCTCTATAAAATAATTTAAGTAATCAATTGTCTTGAAGTTAAAGTTAACCTATACTTTTTGCAATATCGCTTAAAAAACAAGCCTGCTTTCTTCATTTTAAGGTTATAATTTTAAGGTTATAATTCTTCGAATGATATATGGCCCTTGCAGAGACAGCGTGACAAACGAATGGAGGAGCAATAACGAGCTAGAGTCTCTATTCGGAAAAGAAAATTTAGTCAGATATATAAAGGCCAATAGACTAAGATGGGCAGGACATGTGATACGTAGTAACGACAATCGCCTTATAAACAATGTGTTCTGGGAAAGGCCAGATGGAAGAAGGTCTGTAGGGAGGCCTAGAAAAAGGTGGAAAGATGCAGTCAAAGAAGATCTAGAGAAAATGGGAGTGCGATAATTGGAATTACTGGCACAGGACCGACAAACATGGAAGGCAATAGTAAACGCGGCAAAGACTCACGAATAGTTGTAGCGACATTGATGATGATGATAAATCTTAAAAAATTTAGAATCCTAATTTAAATTTTGAGAAGGGATACTTACAATTACTATTAATATAAAATATGTACAATAGTTTACTCACGGTTACACAAGATTGCACAAACATAAACCGTATAAAAGACTAATATTACTGTAAAAACACGAATCAACACTAGACAAGAGTGATAAAAAGAAACAAGACACAAGTGAGAATATCTAAAGTATTATACTGCACACTGGCCCAACTATCACTTGACACTGTAAAAAGGGAGATAAGAAGAAATGCGAGAACTACAGAGGCATCAGTGTAATAGCATGTATGGGCAGGTTATATGAAAAAATGCTGAAAGAAAAACTGGAAAAATCTATCTCAAATAAAATCGGAGATCAGGCGGGGTTCACGGCAGAAAGATCTTGCATAAACCACATATATACACTCCAACAATTAATTGAAAAAAAAATGGCAAAAAATAGACCAGTACACATGGCATTCATAGATTTAAAAAAAGCATATGACACGGTTTCCAGAAAACAACTATGGAACACGATGAAGGAAATCGGAATAACTCAGAGGATAATAGAAGCCGTAAAAACCCTTTACAACAACAACAAGGTAAGAGTTAAAACCGGCAATAAATACTCCAACGAATTTAAGGCCGCAAAAGGCTTATTGCAGGGATGCTCTACATCTCCGACACTGTTCAAGATATTCCTCGAACAAATATTAAAACCATGGAAAAGGAAATGTGAAGGGATGGGAATACCAATCCGGGACAACTTCTTGTACAAATTAAGCTTTGCAGATGACCAAGTAGTAACGGCTTAAGATGAAGAAGTTCTATGTTATATGCTCCGAAAATTAGAAAAGGAAGACACAAAAAATGGACTGGAAATAAACTTAGAAAAGACCGAATATTTAACAACAGAGCAAGAACCAGTGAGAAACTTGGAAATGGACGATGATAGGGAAATTAACGGCACTGAAAAATTCAAATATTTAGGATTCATACTCTCAAAAAATGGAACCACCGAGCAAGACACAACCAGCAGATTAGCACAGACAAGAACATGTATTAAACAAATAAACGGGGTACTGTGGGATAGACAGTTTACCAGAAATACAAAGAAGAGAATTTATAACACCTTTGTACGCAGTAGAATGATCCACGAAGCAGAAAATTGGGTAATAAATAAACGAAACAGGTCCAAAATCACAGTAACTGAAATGAAGTTCATGAGAAGAAGCTGCAGAGTGACAAAAATAGATCGCATCAGAAATGAGGAGATAAAACGAAGAATGGCAGTAGAACAAGACATACTCAGCTACATCGAAGAAAAACGTTTAATTTGGTATGGACATGTGAGAAGAACAGATCATACAAGGTGGATAAAGACAAAGATTTCGGATTGGAGCCCAATAGTAAGAAGGAAAAGAGGTAAACCCCGAAAATCATGGAGGGATGAAGTGGAAGAGGCCATGGAAAGACGAGACCTTAGAAATGGAGAATGGCAGAACAGAAAGGACTGGAGACGTTAGCTGAAAGACGGAAGGCGGCGACAGCTGTAAAAATCCTTACATAGATAGATAGACCATATGAAATGTTTAGGTAAGTAGCTTAAATGTACAACTCGTGCCATCTTTTGATACACAGTGAAATGTTAGTTAAGCCACTTTAAAATGAAGATATGATAAAATGCCACCCATTGTACTACCCATCTGCTTGAATTACACAAAAAAATCAGTTGGACCACTCTGCTTCTGAGCGACTCAATTGTACTCTATAGATGCCACTATAAAAACGTATTAAGCTTTTGAAAAATATTTTTTTATTTACTTCAATATTCATTAATTGCTTCTCCAGAATAAAAAAATTTAGAATTTTACACATGTAAATATGATTCAATCTTATAACACGCTTAACTCTGAAGTTTTACATCTTTTTGTTTAATTAAAGGGCTAGTTTTCACCCTCTAAATACAAAACGTGTAAATTGCAACTATAAAACAGTGAAGTTTTTGATAATACAAACTTAACGTAATTTTCAGAAAACTCGATGCAATTTTAAAGCTTTCGTAAGTTATACTATTTTTATGTTCAGTAGCTAGACTTAAACATATGTGCCATCAGTCATCAAACATTTTTCTTTTCTATACTATTTGACAACCAGGTAACGGAATAAGGTCGTAGAAAAATATTGGTGAAAAATTGAAATATATTTAGTAAAGAAAACTCTATGCATTACCTTCATGAACTGATTTCTTTATGAATTTGTAGCATTCGTTAACTGCAAAATCCAATATTTTAATGGGTACCTTTCCAGAACTACTAATTATTCGACATTGTCCTGTTTCTTTAGTTATCTGTACCCATTTTAACAGCGACATAGCGGCCGTTAAATTAAAGTCCTTCACGAAATCCTCTACATCCCCGTCTTTTACTAATCTATAACTTCGTGGATGGTTTAGACCAGCTACGCCAGGTATGTTGAACCAAAATGCCTTTTGAGATGAAATGCACATGCCTGAAATTAATCTTATTAGTTATGGTCAAAATTTATTTATGCAGAATGTGATCGAAATAGATGTGGAGAGAACATACAACAAGAAAAAAACAACCCAGAGATATTAAAAATACAAATACGAAGTAAAACAACATTGCTTAATAGATGGATAAACCATACGTGGTTTAATGTGGTGAATCGTCAAACGGGCCATAGGAAACTCAATGGTAAACTCTAAATTGTTGAATTCCTGCTTCCCTAATTATTTTACACCAAAAGTCATGGGAAACTATTTGTAGAGGTCTCAAATATGTATCGAAAACAATTGTTAAAATTGTTTTACGACTTAAACGTATTCCAAAATTTTGCTAAAATATAATATATTTTTCAGGCCACCCGTAAAAGTCAGGCCAGACGTCGTGAAAAAAATGTGTATTACGTGTTGCACTTTGTCATATTGACGTTTATAATATTTGACAATATTTAAATCAACTATATTATATTTGTTTGGAAAAGTGTCAAGTAATTTAAATATTTTATTTTTATTGTTGCGAGTATGACCTTGTTTAGTTTTAAATTTTATTTAATCATAATATATTACCTAATTGCAATATGGCTTTGGTTTATTTTTAAATTCTCGAACTCAAATTGGCTGATTAATTATTGTCAAGTTCTGAGAATTCAGTTGTCTGAAATTCAACATGTTTTTGGGAAACATATATCAACCCAAAACACTTCAGATTCCTTAAGAAAACGTATCCGCCTTTGTGTAGCAAGTAAAGAATGTCACTTTAAGTTTAATTTACGGCTATTCACGCAGGTCTCTAAAAACAGTACCCTCTAGTTGATTTGGGGTAATAGATACGTGCCCCTTTGCATATGATCGACCATTCTTCAAAAAACTCTCGTCCTGTACGGAAGCAAGCGCCAAGCAGATCACCACAGCAGTGTATCTCACGCCAACCCCAGCCGGGCCAACCATAGACAAAAGGTAAGTGAATCTCATATAGAATTGACAATAAGATATAAAATCTGCCAATTGTTATTTGAATTCATTTTATTTTACATATATTTGCTACAAATATTCGCTATTTTCGCTAACCTTATATACAATCTAATATTGCATTTTTTCGTTAAAAAATCATTTATCTAATACAATTTAACCAGCGATCTTTCAAGTTTAATCAATAAACAATATTCATCGAGCAAAAAGACAATTGTCTTTTTGCTCGATGATTATATTTATCTATGATTTAAATGGCCAAAATTTTGTGATTTATTATTTAAAAGAAAAATTAAGTTGATTAAAAAATGTACTCAGTTAAGGAGAAAAGAGCAATAATAAAAATGTTTTATTCATGTTTTATTATAACATTTGTTATAGTTTTATGTTTGGAAATGATCATATATTATTATTAGGAATAAAGATCACAGTAACAGTATATTGGACTTCATTGAATTGTTGTATAACATAACTTAACATGGAATTAAATTTTAGTGTATTAGAATATCTTACGTTAAATAAAAATCCGGTAGTGACAGGAAAAGGTTCGCGCTATTGACTGAATACAACATTATGCGATTTTTCGTCAACTGAGTACATTTCATTATATTGATCGATTTGTAAACAATATAATTTATTGTTCACAAAGTAATATTGTTCAGTAGTAGTAGTATTTAGTAAAATTCATTGTTTATAATTTAATCATAAAACAAAAAAATTGACAAATCAAATTGTAAAACATCTGACATCAATATGATAAAACACACACGATATATATTCTTGTATTACGTGTGGCCTAACTTTTAGGGGTGGTCTGAAAAATGTATTATATTTTTGCAAAATTTTGAAGCACATTTGATTGGTAGAACGGTTTTAACATTTGTTTTTAATTCAGATTTTAGTCCTCTACAAATAGTTTTTATGACTTTTGATCTATATAATTAGGGAAGCAGCAATTCAACAATTTAAAATTTCCCATTGAGTTTCCTATGGCCCGTTTGACGATTCACCACCCGGTATAAGGATTCACGTACCTTTCAGGTGCCAAGCGACAAGATTCTTCTTGCCATTTTTTGTTCCAACCAGATACTTACATGCCCCTTTAGATCCCCACAACAAGAAATAGAAATAACAGATAGGGAAATGAGAACGGCCATAAAAGCAATCAAAAATAAGAAAGTACCGGGACCTAAAGGCATCTCACCTGAGCTTATAAAATACGGCTCAAAAAAATTACACTTGATGATACAATGGATATTTCAGAAAGACATACATCGAGAACAGCTCCCTCTAAAAAATGGACTGAGGTATATATGACATCTGTATTTAAGAAAGGAGATAAAAAACGATGCGAACACTACAGAGGAATAAGCATAATATCATCAATAGGAAGAATATATGGGAAGATACTGCGAGAAAAGATAGAGCAAGCGATAAAAGGCAAAATCGGGGAGGATCAGGCAGTGTTCACGGCAGAAAGATCATGCATAGACCACATATAAACACTGGAACAACTGTTGGAAAAGAAAAAAGCAAAAAATAAAAATATACATTTGGCATTTGTGGACCTGAGAAAAGCATATGACTCTGTACTAAGGTCAGAAATACAAAAGTTCTGTATAAAGAAAATAAAGTGTCCATTAAAGTGGAATCAAGAATAATAGGAGACTTCACCACTACAAAAGGGCTCCTGCAGGGTTATTCCACATCTCCAACCCTATTTAAAATATACTTAGAGAAAGCCTTGACTACATGGAAAAGAAAATGCGAAGGCATGGGAGTACCGGTACGCAACGAATACCTACATACGTTAAGCTTTGCGGACGATTAAGTAGTGATTGCACAAGACCAAGACGACCTCAGCTACATAATGAAGAAACTACAAGAAGAATATACCAAGGCTGGCCTAGATATTATCATCGCGAAAACAGTGTACCTATCTATAGTGTATTTTTATGTATGAGAGAGTAATAAAACAAATGTATGCAAATCCCTAAACTGTTAATACGGGTGACTCAATGAAAAACAGATATTTGTCAACAAGTTTACAGAAGTATATAGGAAAACAAGTTTAAATTGAGTATGACCACCAGGTATAAAGGTTGGAGCAGAATAGAATACAATAGTTGTGAGGGTTACTAATCCCTAAATAAGGTGGCCAGTGTTGGAGTGATGGAGGTTAACAGGTACTAATGAATTTGCAAGAAATGTAAGATGTTTATTTTATTGGTTATATATAACCAATAAAAGTTTAATAAGTACCTACCTATTTGCAAAATAAAGTTTAATTCTTTAGATAAAATAAAACGTTTTATTTTATCTGAAATGAGTGCATTCCACGAAGTAAGGGTTTCAACAATCAAACATTTAATTCTTTAATTCCAGGAATCTACGACAGTAATTGACTAGATAATTACCTTCTACACTTATTCCACAGAAAATGTGATAGTGGGTTTTTCCATTTTGTAGGAAGGTCCAAGTGGCGTATTCAAAATTCTAAACAGTTCACTAAAAGTAGGTACTTCAGTTGCAAGGTGCAGTTTATTGTGTATACTAGTGTTATGGAAAATTTGGAAGTGCCGTGTAAACGCCGAAAAATTGGTCCTTTAACAGTTAATGAAAAAACATTAATATTTAATTGTTTTAAATCATTTACAGACAAACGTTTATGTGAAAGTGTTGATGAGACCGTTGAGTTAGTTAGCAGTACACTTGGTGTTGGGAAATCTACGATTTACAGAGTTATTAAAGAAGAGAAATGTGGTAGTTTTCAAATGCCACGTAATGCTCCAGGGAAACCAAAATTTCAAATAGAATATCATTTTAAAAAAGGACTTGACGGAAAGTGCATGAATTCTTCTTTAGACAAGAATTTCCAACATTGGATAAAGTTCTTGTCTCAGTTCGAGATGATAAGGATTACCCAGAAATGAGTCGAAGTACGTTATGGAAACTTTTAAAAGAAATAGGCTTCCGCTGGAAAAAGAATCCCAAAAAGTCTATTTTATTAGAAAGAAGCGATATTGTCATATGGAGAAGACATTTTCTAAGAACCATAAAGGAAATGAGAAACCAAAAAAGAAAAATATTTTATCTTGATGAAACATGAATCAACGAGGGTCATACACCAAAGAAATTTTGGCAGGATGAAACTGTTACAAGTCAAAGGCACGCTTTTGTAAATAACTTATCTACTGGTTTAAACCCACCATCAGGAAAGGGACGCAGGCTGATAATAGTACACATTGGCAGTTCAGACGGTTTTGTTGAAGGTGGTTTATTAACTTTTGAATCAACTCGTACCGGTGACTACCATGAAGACATGAACGCTGATGTCTTTCAAGAATGGTTCGAACAAATGATAAATCTTCTTCCTAAGAATTGTGTAATAGTAATGGATAATGCAAGTTATCACTCCAGACTTGTAGAAGGACTGCCTACAACCAAGTGGTTAAAAAAAGACTTGCAGAATTGGCTGAGTTCAAAAAATATTACGTACCATCCCAGATCTATACGAAAGGAACTTTATTCGTTGTGTGCCCTTCATAAAGAAAAATTTAAAAAATACGAAATTGATGAAATTGACAAATATCGTGGAATGACAGTACTTAGATCCCCACCATATCATTGTGAATTAAACCCGATTGAACTGGTATGGGCACAGATAAAGAGTGAAGTTTCAAGAAAAAATACCACTTTTAAAATTCATGATGGTCAACAGTTGTTTTTGGAGGCCGTAAATAATGTAAAACCTGAAAACTGGGAAAAGGCAGTAAATCACACTATTAAAGAAGAGGAAAAAATGTGGAAGCTGGACAATATTACTGATAAAATGATCGAGCCAGTTATTATAAATCTTGGTTCTGAAAGTTCATCTTCTGAATCTGATTTGGATTTGTAACAAGTAGCTGTAAGTTTTATATTAATATTTTTATTCATCTATTTAACATACCTTAGACGGTTTTAAAAACTCTTTTTCTCTTTTGTAACTTTTAAAAATTAAAAAAAAATGTGAATT